AATTACAATAAAAAAAAGTAATTATTTTTATGAATATCTAAAAAAAATTAAATATAAATGTAATTTTAACAGTTCTTTTGTTATAAGTGAATTTATTCTAGGATTATCCTGAAACGAACACATAAATTCAACAATTCGGTCATTTACTTGTTGTTTATCCTAAGTGTTAATATAGGATAGAACGGAGCCAGAGTTGACACTTTTTCTTTAAGTTATTATAAATTTTCACACAATTACGATAGATTAATAGTAAATGCTTTAAAATGTTGCATGTTCATCTGGCTCAATAAGTAAGTACTTATAAATTCTTAATATAACTTGTAAATAAGAATAAAATTACGTTAATTACAAGGATGCAAAGTGGATCAATATGCCCCACCCATGAGGCATGTTGAGCATCCTCGAAGAATAAGTTGAGCTATAAAGATAATCGTTTAATGAAATTATATATTATTAAAAACATGAAAGGATTATGTGTATGTTAATCAAATTTTTATTATTTTCATCTTAAGTATAATAATTTGTATAATATTCTCTTTTTAAATATTTTAATTAACAAAATTAGAAAAATTAAAATCTTTACTCTTTATAATAATAAATAAACATAAAATATTGAATCGTTAATATAAAATAAGAAGCATTGATAAAGACAGATTTCATTTAAGCAGTTGAGTTTATAAGGTTAATTATGAGATACTGGTCCAACAAGTCCCATGTATGTTGACTGAAATACTTTTTTATAACTGAAAAACCATAAATAAAATAGCAACTTAAACGTTAAAGTTAAAAAATACGATAATAACTTATCCAAAAAACACATTTAACTGTTTAAAGATTATGCGTTTCGTGGGTTTCCTCCGTATCCATTCTTGGGATACCAACGTTTCGTGAACCTTGCAATCCACTTGCATTCACTGAACTGTTCTTTCGGGCCGTTCCTTTTATATTATGCTACTTGTTGAAGGGGCGAGGAGAGAATTGTGGGTGGGTGGGTGGAGGGGAGAGGTGGAGGAAATTGATCGGTCTTCAATAAATGGGAGAATGGTTTCCCATATTTTATTTATGGTATAGCCATTATCTTTATTTAGATTGTTAGAGTGTTTTTGTATCTCTAAGGCTTCTTTATACTTTCTTGAAAAGTATGATGTAATGTTGGCTATTGTGATCGTTTTATTAAACAGTATTTGATGTCCTGTTTCGATGTTGTGTTCTGATAATGTTGATTGCGTGGCGCGTTTTAGCCTGACATCACGTTGGTGTTCTTTTATCCGTAAGTTGATCATTCTCTCGGTTCCCAATGTATACTTGCCTGCAGGAACAAGGTAATTTATATTCCTGCGGAGCTGAGTGGAGGTTTTTGATCTTTAGGATTTCTTAAGATTTGTCCTATCTTTTTGGTTTGAAGATAGTTCGGATATTGTGTTTTAATATCCTACCAATCCGATCTGTTGTTCCTTTGACATATGGAAGAATGGATAGGATCCTTGCATCTGGTTGTGTGTCAGAGACCGTTGTCTTGTTTGCATGTTTATTAATTGTTTTGATTATGTCTTTTTTATCATGTCCGTTTTTCTGTAATGCTAGTTTTTACATGATTGAGTTCTGTCTGTAAATGTTCTTTGTCAGAGGTGGTGACTGCAAGGTTCACGAAACCCAAGAATGGATCTGGACATGGAGGAAACCCGCGAAATCAAATACGCATAATCTTTATATAGAAAGCACCCGTGGAAGCCTCAAGAACATTTAACTGTTATTAATTGCTTTAATTACCATGTAGAACTAAAAGAATATTCACCTAATAATTTTACTTTTGATATATAAAACCGAAAAAGCACACGTGTTTGGCTGTTGATAGTCGAACAGATTACTGTATCAAGACACAGTAATCTCTGTCTTGGTGTTACATTACGCAAGCATAGATGTATCTATATATATTTTGTTTATTTAGATTATTGGCATTTGACCAACTTGCCCTTATGCTCAAATAGCCCCTCTACCTTGTGTAATGTAAATATTGTAATATATAATTGATAAAGTAATTAATTTTTATAAAATTACAAATAATTATATAAAAAGACATTAATATTTTTTACATATTTACAAACATAACATAACCTGTAATTATAAAATTGCCAAAAATTTTATAGAAATATATTTATCTAATAAATCAGTAAATTACATGATTTCATTATATATGTATTATACATTTATCTACATACACGGATATATATACATAAACATATATTAGGAAAAATTGCTACTTTACTATAGTGTAATTAATTAGTATTATATAAAATAGAAAAAAATATACGAGGGGGGACCCATAAGTTCCGGGAATTACGCTGTGGTGGGGAGGGAGAGTGGGGGAACCTATTGTTTGACCACATGTCCGTTAGTGTCACGCCACCTGCGTCAGTGTGCGAAGTTGTGTCGCTGTGAGTGCATCGGTTCGCCTGTGAGATTTTTTTTAGTAAAACAACTTTTTACATTTCGGCGAAAACGTAATGGCAGATTGTCGAGAACAACGCGCGGCTATGAAATTTTGTGAAGCAATTTTTGACCAAAAACGCCATCCACCCCCCATACTCACCGGATCTAGCCCCCTGTGACTTCTTTTTGTTCCCCAAATTCAAAAGGAATATGAAAGGAAAGCGTTTTGCCACTGTGGAGGAGGTGAAACAAAAATCGCTGGAAGGCTTAAAGGACATCCCGATGAGTGAATTTAAAAACTGTTTTGAACAATGGAAGAATCGTTTGGAGAAGTGCGTTGTGGTCAATGGCGAATACTTTGAAGGTGATTAAAATTTGGTGTTAAAATATTTAGAAATAAAGAAGTTATGACGAAATTCCCGTTTGTTTTGGGTCCCCTCTCGTATATTTACCCTCAGTACTTACAAAGGATTAGCGTAACCTCTCCCCCCTCCCCACCCCGATTTTTATAATTCAGACGTTTTTTCCGATCCTTTTTCACTTATTGCAAAATATCTATGATATTTTAGACTTTCTAACTAAAAAAATTCTTTTTTCAGTCTAAACGGTAGATTTAAAAAATTAGTTAAAATCGATGTATTACAATCTGAGATACAAGCAAAAGAAAATGCTAGGTTACAAATATCCGGATGTGGGGACTTTTAGATAAGGATTATTTTTAGATGTGGGTACTGAGAGTTAATAAAAAAATTTTACAGATATACTATAAATCTAAAACAATCAGTGATAAATGTTTTTCATGTTGAATTTGTTAAAAAGAAATGTCTAATGGAGAAATGTAAAAAACCTTTTTTAAAATAACAAATATAGGAATTAGATCTGTGATTAATATTACAGATATTAACGAAAGAAAGTTATAATATGGATTTTTGAAGAGTGTATGCTTATTTCATTACAATATTATAATATATAGATTTTCGTAGTATTTATGAGTATTTTTGCTTGCAATAAGCATGTTACATAAGACCATTGATATATAGAAAGCAAATCAATATTTTTTATTTGCTATTGCTTATGTTATTGTCTAATGTTTTTGACTATCATTAACCAATTCATTTTTAATGTTATCAGATGTTTACGCGATTTGTACTATAAACCCATCAAGACTGTACTGGCAGTAATAGACATTTCCTTTGGTGCACTGGCTTGTCGTACACTCATTTCCCATGTGTCCAATAATTGAGAAAGAGAGAAACGGCGCGGCAATTTCGCGATGCGGATGTTCAGGGCCTTTTGTACGGCACACAGAAATGTCGTTGCTTCGTATTCATGCGGTGCCATGACGCAACGAGGCGGTGTTGAAGGATAGTCTGCGGGAACTGTAACTGAGATCGGTGGAACGCATGGAAGATGACGATCGTCAAGCCAACATATCAATTGTATGCATCTCGATCCACTTTGTTGTGCTGGATCTAGACTGACCTAAAATGAAAATTATATGATTAATAATAATTATATTTATGAATATATTAGGTCAATCAGAAAATTCCGTCCATTTAACGGCGAGTAGCTGTAGCTAACTCTAAATCAAGCTTAATTTTTTTTAGATTAGTTTTATCATCTGTCAATAAAATTCAGTATATAAAAGTATACGTTTGCATCAATAACATTGCTTTTTACTGCCTCGAAAATGTCGACATTTGAGCCAAATAAGCGTCGATATTTGCACGAAATGTTAATCTTTTGCTTCAAATGGAAGAAAACTGCAGTTAAAGCTCATCAAATGCTTGCAGAAGTTTATGGTGATAGTGCTCCTTCCGATAAAAGAAGCAGAGAATGGTTTCGAAGCTTTAAAAGTAGTGATTTTGATGTGGAGGACAAAAAGCATTTTGGACGGCCAAGAGCATTTGAAGACAAAGAATTGCAGGCATTGGTGGATGAAGACCCATGTCAAAAACAACTTGCAGAAGCATTAAATTGTGCTTAATCTGTTATTTTCGATCGTTTGAAAAACTGGAAAAGGTCTACAAGGAAAGAAAATGGATCCCATATGAACAACTGAAGCCAAGAGACATTGAAAAACCATCTGCGAAATTCTGCTTGCTAGGCAACAAAGAAAGAGGTTTTTGCACCGAATTGTGAGTGGCGATGAAAAGTGGATCTATTTTGATAACCCCAAACGCCGAAAAACCATTTGTGATCCAGATCAACCATCAACATCGATGCCAAAGCGGCCATAGAAAGAAGGCAATGTTTTGTATTTGGTGGAATCAGAAGAGTGTAACGTACCACGAGCTGTTGAAATCTGGTCAAACAGTCACAGGGAATCTCTATCGAGAACAAATTATCCGTTTGAGTCGAGCATTGCATGGAAAACGACCAGAATATGAAACGAGACAGCATAAAGTGATTTTGCTTCATGACAATGCTCGGCTTCACGTCATAAAACTTGTCAAGGAAACGTTAGAAGTACTTCGCTGGGAAGTGCTACCCCATGCGGCTTATTCACCAGACTGTGCTCTTTCCGACTATCACTTGTTTCGATCGATAGCACACGCACTTGCAGAGGAATACTTCAATTATTATGAAGACGTCGAAAAATGGGTCTGTGAGTAGATAGCCTCCAAAGATGAGTCATTCTTTCGTCGCGGAATTCGCTTACTGCCCGAAAGATAGGAAAAAGTTATCACTAACAATGGACAAATTTTGATTAAGGTACTTTTTTATTTTGTTTTTTAAATAAAATTATACTTTTTGCAAAAAAACGGACGGAACTTTCTGATTGACCTAATATCTTTTTAAATCGGTATTATAAATCAAACTAACCAAGACTCCTTATAAATCAAAGAACTGGAAAGGATACGGGCAGTAGGAGTCAAGCGCAGAAGATGTCACGCAAATAATACATTTATGAAATATGAAACTTCTTTATTCACTAAAACGCGCTTACATGTTTCGACTCACTTTTGAGCCCTCCTCAGAGACAATACAAATTAACATAAATAAACTGTGAATAAAAAACTATGAATAAAAATTATCTTATCATGGTGAGCTCCTCTACCTCGAGAATTTAAATACCAGAACTAAATGCCAAAAAGAGTGAAAAAGAAAAAAGAAAAATGAACGAAAAAAGGAAATAATGAAAATATCGAAATAGAGAATATGAAAAACTCATTTATCAAAAACCTTAAGATCATAATTAATTATCCCGAAAATAAGGACGCTCACCCTGATCATAAACTATATTGCAAACATTATTATGAATTATTCAAAAACTGGTTCTCAATATTTTTGGCCAGTCAGTGTTAGACATAGTGAGTCACTTTTAGTTTTAACTAGTATTATTGAAGCTTACAAATAAAAAATTTCGCATTGAAACGTTAATCTATTCCATGAAAATGAAAGTCAGAAAGTAATCAAAAATCATGCCAGAAAGACTCATTACTGCATACGAACAACACTGACTGACTAGACGTGACAACAACCCAAGCCTTTATAGCTTGTCTATAATCAGATAGGCCTTGGGAAGCCCCTCCATATCCGTCTGCAAATTGAGTCCGTGAGTCTGTCTTTTGATAAATACCATCTATAAAATCAATCTCTTCCTGTAGTGAGGCTCCTCGTCCAGTATTGTTATCCCAATCGAAATCATGGCCTCCATGTAACCGATGTTCCACTCGGGCACGGCTTTTCCGATTTGCACGTACTATTTCCCGTTGCTTCCTATCAATATTTGCAACGCCTTTTTTGATAAACGAGGGAAATCTTCAATACCTTTTCTTCTTGTGCGAAAGGAATAGAATTGATTCGAAGTGTAGCTGACTGTTGTCGAAACGGAGGGAAGAATTACTAAATAATAATATTAAAAATATCAGGCCTATTCGTTATTATCAAAAGATAGTGTCCGCTGTTGACGTTGATCATGGCAGGGATGGAATGTTGGAGGGTAGTGTTAATGTTAGGCTGTCGTTGTGTATCCTAACGTATAGAATATAAATGTTGAGACAGTTAAAGAAATACAGATTGATCCTCAGCCCTTTCTTCTACTGATTCCTTCTCCTTCATTTACCTCACAAAGGAATGGCTGGTTTGTGAATCTATCAACCGTTTCCATATCTCCTAATATACAGAACTTTTTACAATTAGGAGATACATTTTTCTTATCTTTAAACAATAGATTTAACGGATTTAACGGTCGATCTTATTATATAAGTGTATTGAAAGTAATATAATATTTACAAATTGCCTATTGATGCGGATCTCGATCTCAAACCACTCATTTCCTGTATTAAATAACTTAGCTTCTCGTTCCCTACACTGTACGGAGGTAGGTAGGAGTTCGTCACAGCTAGCGAAAGACACTAAGATTTTTTTAAGGGATATGAATGATAGGATTATTTTTACTCGTGTGGATAAAGGGAATGCGACGGTAGCATTGGATAGACAGGTGTGCATTTCCAGGGTAGAGATGCTTCAGAATGTAAATACTTATGAGGTAGTTGAAAGGGATCCGACGAGGAGGATGATAACAGGCTTATGCGCTTTATTAATTAGTTGGAAAAAATATATATATAGCTAATTCCACATATAGACGTTTGTTAAGTAATGATGGAATACTTCCGAGAGCCTACGCTCTTCCGAAGATACATAAGCAGGACTGCCCCTTTCGTATAATAGTTTCTTCGATAAATAGCCCTTTGTATTCGTTAGCAGTGTTTCTTTATAATATTATCATAAAAACATTTTCTAAGGCGGATAGTCATATCGAAAATAGTTTTAAACTTGGTAAGGAACTTGATGGTAGACGTTTGAGTAATGAATTTCAGTTAATGTCACTGGATATGATTGTGAGCCTCTTTACTAATATCCCCATTGACTTGCAATGGACTGTGTTAAAGACCATTGACGATTTATTTCTAGAGATTGTTGTCTACCGGAGAAGGAATTCATCAAAGCGGTTTAGTTTGTTTTAGATTCTACTTTCTTTGTTTTTGATAGTGTTATATATAGACAAAATTATGGGACTCCTTTGGGCTCAACGTTATCTCCCGTCATTGCGGATCTAGTTATGCAAAAGCTGGAAATTAAAGCTTTGTCTTTGATTCGGTTTCCGTTGCCCTTTTACTATAGATTTGTTAGCGACATATTATTGGCGGCACCTGCGTCTTCGATTAGTTCCATTCTTGATATTTTTAATTCTCAGCATCCTAAGCTTCAGTTCACTATGGAGATAGGCGATAATAGACTGAATTATTTGGATGTTACAGTGATTAGGGATAATGAATTGATAAAGTTCAATTGGTCGACTTTTTCAGGTAGATATCTGAATTTTTGGTCACAGCATCCTGTTTCTCAAAAAATAGGTACAATCGCGGGACTAATTGATAGAGTAGTTTTGCTTTCGAATCCTATATTTCACTTTGAAAATTTATGTTTCATTATTAAAGTATTATTAGAGAATAATTATCCATTGAACTTTATATTTAAGAATACTAACATCGTTTGAAGAAAATTATTATGGCTAAAAATAAGAAGAGTGTTGTTAATGATAATAGAGTAAAAGCAGTGCAGCCTTCGTGGTTCACTGTTCCTTTCGTGCGTGGTATTATTGAGAAGTTTAGCAGATTGAATAGCGAGCGTATGAGGGTATCGTTCTATAGTACTAATAAATTGCGAGACTTCATTAGGATACATAAGGATCCTTTACCGCGTGATAAGAAGTCGAATGTTGTTTATAAGATCTCGTGTAAGAGTTGCGATGTAAGTTATGTGAGACAGACATGTAGACAGCTGAAGTCAAGAATCACGAAGCATAAGAACCACATCAAACACCTCTACTCGTAAGTCACAACGGAGCATTGGTTACAAGAAGGCCATGATTTCGATTGGAACAACGTTGCAATACTGGACGAGGAGCCTCATTATACAAAGGGATTGATTTCGGAGATGATATTTATCAGGGAACAGACGCACGGACTCAACTTGCAGACGGATATAGAGGGCTTCCTAAGGCCTACCTCCCGATCATAGACAAGCTATAAAAGTTTGGGTTGTCACGTCTAGTCAGTCAGTGTCGTTCGTACGCAATAATGAGTCTTTCTGGTATAATTTTGGATAACTTTCCAATTTTCATTTTCATGGAATAGATTAACGTTTCAATGCGAAATTTTTTATTTGTAAGCTTCAATAATACTAGTTAAAACTAAAAGTGACTCACTATGTCTAACACTGACTGGCCAAAAATATTGAGAAACAGTTTTTGAATAATTCATAATAATGTTTGCAATATAGTTTATGATCAGGGTGAGCGTCCTTATTTTCGGGATAATTAATTATGATCTTAAGGTTTTTGATAAATGAGTTTTTCATATTCTCTATTTCGATATTTTCATTATTTCCTTTTTTCGTTCATTTTTCTTTTTTCTTTTTCACTCTTTTTGGCATTTAGTTCTGGTATTTAAATTCTCGAGGTAGAGGAGCTCACCATGATAAGATAATTTTTATTCATAGTTTTTTATTCACAGTTTATTTATGTTAATTTGTATTGTCTCTGAGGAGAGCTCAAAAGTGAGTCAAAACATGTAAGCGCGTTTTAGTGAATAAAGAAGTTTCATATTTCATAGATGTATTATTTGAGTGACATCTTCTGCGCTTGACTCCTACTGCCCGTATCCTTTCCAGTTTTACTATCTTTTTAATTATAAACCAGATACAAAATGAGTTATTTGATATATCATTTTATACATAAAAAACTTTAACAAAATTTACGAATTATACAATTAAAACATTTTTATAGGTAAAAAGTTTTAACACCAATGTGTTAAACAAATTTTATCGAAGATTTATTTACTTATTTTGAAAGTTTTACACAAAATAAATTGTAAATGAGCTTAGAAGCTGATATTACATACTTTAAATCGTTGGTCCAATCTAGCTATTTCTCCTTGTAATACGTCTGGTATTTCGCTAGATGATTCCTCTATTTTTTGCTTCTTCAAAGGTGGTGGCAAATTTCTATTTTTATATAGATCATAGAATATATTTCAATTTTTAATTATAAATTTATTACATAAAATAAAAAATGTAAACGATTTTTATATATGTATGCATTCTTACTTTATCTCTGGTCCAAATAATGCATCCAAACATGGTCCAAAAGTGCGTTGTAATGTGTGATTGATCACCGGACTTTGGAGATGTGCGCTTACGGCTTCTAATAGTGGACTGAAAATTTGATGCTCCTTCAATGTTGTTACTGGCGGTCCCACACTACCGTCTCCTCTCTTAAAATTAAATTTTTCCAAGACAACTTCACATTTTAGCAACGTATCCAACGGCATACGTTTACTGGGATTTGATAGAATTTCCAAGAGTTTTTTCATTTTACTCAGTTTATCAACATCTACAAAACAGACAAATATAAATAGTACTTATTCACAGTAGTTATTTATTCGAATTATTGTACTTATTAGAAAGGCATAACGCTTTTTAGGCTTCCATGGATACTATTTTCAAATAAGTTGCGAGTTATCGCTGTGTTTTTGTCCATTGCTAATGCCAACGTTTCTTAATATTAAAAAGGCATATGTAATATCAAAAGCGCACTTACTTTCTTTCTTTTTGTTGATCTAACTATGACAAAATAATTTCATATATCTGTATTATATATTTTTAAATATATATTCTTTAGTACATTAATTTTCGTAGAATAAATTTTTTGTTTTTAAGCAAACCAGATCTTTTTAATATTTTAGAAATTTAATTTCATATTAATATATTATACATTAGACTGACAAGGAAAAAAGAAAATATTTTTTTAAATTATTACATATTAATAAAAATAAAAAGCCTCTCAGTTCAAAAGCTTCCATTTCATGCTAAAAGATTACCCCTAAATTTTTATCAAAAAGTATTAAGATTTAGAGGTCGCTACAGAATGATTCTTAAATTAAAGTTTCGATTTTCCATAATACATATTTGATTTGATGCAAAAATGGCTTAAAATCAGATTTTAACAAGTTTGAGTAAGTTAATGTTTTTTTAAAACTAATTTAAGTTAAAGTTAATGGCTTACAAAATTAATAAAATTAAATAAATAACAATAAATAAAAGGCAAAGTAAGAATCAAACACATTTTTTTAAATTATCACACAAATAAAAAGAATAAATTACAAATACAGAGAGGTAAAATTACATAATGAAAAAAGTTTTGGCTACCGGATTGAGCTCTATTCAGACATTAACTTATCATAAATCGCTGTACAAAATTAATTATCGAAAATATTCGCATATTCACTATAATCACAGCTCGGATGAGTCTTGATGTAGAACTCGACATTATTCACATACGATTGAACAGTCAAATGTGTTATCTCTTCGAAAAAGTTCTAAAATCATGTGTAAATTATTCGAACAAGTGTATCTACATACATTTAAAATCCGGATTAAGCATTTTTGCATCAAATCAAACATGTATTAAGGACAATTGAAATTTTGATTTAAAAATCATTCACTAGCGATCTCTAAATTTTAATATTTTTTGATAAAAATTTAGGAGTGTTCTTTTAGCATAAAATGAAAGATTTTGAGCTGAAAGGCCGATTAAAAAAAATTTTTTTTTCTTGTCAGTCTAATATACATTTACTTTATTGTTATTTATGTTAATCATGTAATTTTATTTTCTTACTTCCTTCGCAGCTCATCTTGGCGATCATTCTTCGTAATGGTTCTATATATTTGCTCAACTGTCTAACTTTGTCTCTGTAAGCCTGATCTTCTTGCTGAGGACTTGGTGTAGCTCCTACACCTCCGGGAGTATTTAATGAACTGCTTGGAGATGGTGCCATACCTATATAGTTATATAGTTCAATATATTTAATAATTCTATTTTTTCTTTTTCTTATTTATATTGACCTTCTATGTTTATTAATTCTCAATTATCTGAACGTACCTACGGAATTCACGGATCGAGTTGGTCCTGTCATAATGGCATGCTGAGGACTTGGTGATGGCACTAGAGCAGGTGAGGCTACCATTTGATTACTATAAAAATACATTGTTTTGTTATTGTATCAGATATATGTGAAAAATAGCTTTTAAATTTCTATCACACAATCCTAAACATTATGTTTAAAAAGAACGTGAATGTTACCTCGACGGTGCTCCCAATCCAGCTGGGCTTGGAGCTGAAGGAGATGGACTCTGTCTCAAGAATTGATTAGGTGTAACGTTACGTGGACCAGGAAATCCAGTATTCATCATTTCACTTGGCTAAAAATGAAAGTGGAAATTATATTGATAGAATATTATCAACCAATGAAGATATTATTATTAATGATATTGGTAATAAGAATTATTAAAAAGATAAGTGTATTATATACTTTTCTTTGAATATGATTTAACTGCTGTTGCATCTGACCAGGGCCTAATTGTCCAGGACCAATTTGATTCATTTGCTGCGATATACTAGTCTGTATATTGCCTATTGGTCCCGTAATTTGATTATTCATTTGACCTGGTAGTTGAGTCTGCATCTGGGACTATGATAAAAATAATCTATGAATAGATTATGATAAAAATAAAATGCCACTGATTTATCCTTTTACCTTATTTTGGCCTTTTTATATATTCTTATATAACTTATTTATGTACAAAGAACGTAAGTACATAGAATATACCTGCATATTTTGTTGCATCTGTCCAGCGCCTAATTGTCCCATTTGTCCAGGCACCATTTGATTCATTTGTGGAGGAATATTTCCTTGTCCCATCTGATTCATTTGAGTCAGCATAGGATTATTTTGCATACTCTGAATGGGACCCAAGTGATTCATTGGACCACCAGTTTGTGACGGCATCATACCCATACCTGGCATCTTGTTTTGTATACCAGGCATATTTATTGGTTGGGCAGGTCGTTGATTTAAACTTTGCAAAACTAACAAAATGTGCAAAAGAGTTTGAACTAGTTATCACTTGGATATGTGTACATTTTTCAGATATGTATAAAAAATTATATATATAAAAACTATTTATGTATTTGGACATTGAAGTCAAAATTTAAAGATATATTGTAATATTATAGAAGAAAAGAATGTATAGAAATCAATGCATAATAAATCAAAAAGAGAATATAAATAAATATAATTTGTATTCATTATTTTATTATAATCAATTTACTCATGATACGTGTGTTTATTGTTGTTTATTTTTTCTTTTACTAATTATTAACATAAAAACAGAAGATTTAAAACTTAAAGAAAACATAAAAATCTTAAATATAGAATTCGTGTAATTATAATTTCGAAAAAAATTGTATAAAAAAAGAACTCTCTCTCTCTCTCTCTCCCCCCTCTCTCTCCCTCCCTCCCTCCCCCTCTCTCCCTCCCTCTCTCTCTCTCCTCCTTCCTTCCTCTCCCCCTCCCCCCCTCTCTCTCTGATTAATTCATATACTATTTATAAGAAGACATTAAACACTACAAAATGCATGAGATATCAGTATATATTTACCTTTTTAAAAAAAAGGTTAAAAAAACTGTTGTCAGCACGTGCTTTCCAAAAGAATTTTATTAACTTGAAACATAGGATGAAACCTAAGTGATACGTATTTATCTATTAAAATCCCATAAATAAAAATTCTACTTAATTTGAACGACACGTATCAGGCATATAAAAGAAGTGATATCAATAATGGGCGCTAAATTTGCCACTAAGTTAAAATCCCATAAGTAAAAATTATACTTAATTTGAACGGTACGTATCAGGTATACAAAAGATCTGATATCAATAATTGACGCTACATTATAATTTTTAATGTAGCGCCAATTATTGATATCAGATCTTTTATATATCTGATACGTATCATTCAAATTAAGTATAATTTTTATTTATACGATTTTAACTTGGTGGCAAATTTAGCGCCCATTATTGATATCACATCTTTTATATGCCTGATATGTTCAAATTAAGTAAAATTTTTATTTATTAGACTTTAATAGAATCAAAAATACGTATCACTTAGGTTTCATCATATATTTTAAGTTCATAAAATTTTTTTGCAGAGCACGTACTCACAGCGTTTTTTTTTACCTTTTTTAAAAAAGTAAATGTATGTACTGATACCTCATGCATTTCGTAAAGTTTAACGTCTTCTAAGAAACAGTAAATGAATTAATTTAATACACATTTTTTTTCGAAAAACCGAAGAATACGCATTTTTAATGCTTTTTTCTGTTCTTTTTTAAAAAGATAAGTTTTGTACTGATATCACGTATTTTGTAGTGTTTAATGTTCCCTTATAAATTCATTTTATAATCAAGTAAAATCTTTTTCACAGATATATTTGTACCGCATTCTTATCTCTTTCAAAAAAATAAATTTATACACTAATATCATGGTTTTTGTAATTTTTAATATCTTTTTATATAAACAGTATATAAATTAATTACTTTAGTTTTTTTATGAAGATTTTTAACTATAACATCAGGATTGGAAAGTCTCAACTCAATCGTTACTTATAACGAGTTGTAACGATCACTCGTTATTTGTAACGCGTTACTTTTTACTCATTACTTGTAACGCGTTACTCATTACAAATAAGCTTTTCAGTGAGTAAACGTCTAATGATAAAGAGTTACTTTTCAAAATGACTGTTCCAAGCTTAGCACAAAATTAGTGTAGTTATCGTTCCAATCATAAAAAAACTGCAACGTCATTATTAAGTCGTTTTTATAAACGACTGTAATCTTATGAATAGTATATGAATTAATCAATTTGATACACTTTCTTTTCTGAAGAATCTAAGAATACGCACTCTTGGTGTAATTTTCTATCCTTTTTTAAAAAAGTAAGTTTTGTACTGATATCATGTATTTTATAGTGTTTAATATTTCCTTATAAAATCATTTTTTAATTTAGTAAAATTTTATCTCGCGGAATATATATTTGTACCGCCTTCTTAGCTTTTTTACAAAGATAAATTTATGTACAATACTAATATCATGATCATGGCTTTTGTAGTTTTTAATGTCTTTCTATATAAACAGTATATAAATTAATTACTTTAGTACATTTTTTACGAAGATTTTCAACTGTAACATCAGTGTTGGAAAGTCACTCAATCGTTACTTACAACGAGTTATAACGATCACTCGTTACTGAAAATAACTCGTTAATTGTAACACATAACTTTTTATTCGTTACTCGTTTTGCTCATGTGTTACTAATAACTTTTTCAATAAATAAAAGCGAAATAGTAAAATATTATCTTTCAAAGTGACTTTTCCAAACATAGCACAAAATTAGTGTAGCCAGTAATCGTTGCAATCATAAAAAACTATAACGTCGTTATCAAGTCGCTTTTATAAACGACTGTAACGATAAAATTTACGGGATTTACTTCACATCTCTGCATTTTTTATATAAATATATTTGTATAAAATGTTCCTTTTCAATTTCATAAAATAAGAACCATGAAAAGATTCTTAACTATATAAATTTGAACTTTGGGAACTTTATTTAGAATTTGAAATATAACAAGTATTGACCAATAAAATAATTCGTAAAGCATATGAAATTAAATTCAAAGCAATCATAAAGCCGAGCTATCAGACATAAGTCACAGTTAGAATTACTCTTTTCGGTAAAAAACTTTTACTTAATTTTATTCCTTTTTTTAAACTGTAATTTATATTTAATATAGACCTGCGGCATACGATACTTGTTTTTCTGCTACATTTCCTGCAACCTTCAGAAGGTTTAGCAATCACTCATCACACGTTAAAAAGTTATTAAAAATGAAATAGAGAATTTAACTCCGATGACGATGACCTTGACATATATTATCAAGGTCATGTCTCTGAGTGACCATCGGGCACTTTCAGCAGTCGACCGTTGTCTATTAAAAAAAATATTAAAATTAAAATAGACAATTCATCTCCGACGACCTCGACCCTCCCACACACTATGAAGGTCATGAAACCGAACAACTTTCGGATGCTTATAGCAATAACCCATCAAGCGTTACAAAGTTATCAAAAAAATTAAAATGATTCCTTGTTTCATATTGATAAGGTCATGACTCTAAATGACCATCGGATAGTTTCATCAGTCGACCTTCGATCGTTAAAGAGTTATTAAAAAGTAAAGTAAAAAGGTTGAAATTGTCATCTGTCGACTGAAGTTCGAGATGTAATCCATAGACCAGGCAGACGACAATAACGTTTCTTAAAATTTGAACAAAATTCGGAACTTGTAGCAATACCTATGTCTGTAGCAATGTCCACTCGTAGGGCAAATAGAAAAAAAATAAATGCACTTTCATTACACAATTCGGATACAAGCTATCGATTAACCATGCATAGAATTTGATCGGCACAGCCATTATTAAGATATAATATCCGAGATTTTTGAAAACTCATCGCTTCGCGTAAAGATACCCAGCAGTGTCTCTGGATCTACAACAATGACAATCTTTCTGACAAATTTTTTGTTTTTATAAATTTGTGGAACTTTCTTGCTCTATAATAAATCTTTCAAACACTTCTTTCAAAAGAAAATAAAAAAAATTTTAAAACTTTGACTTCAACTTATTTAGGTTTTTTTGTACATTTTTTTGAGGCTTTCAATTATTTATGAGCACAGTATATACAGTAGCGCAACTCTCTGTCGGCACCTTTGATGTTAGTGTTGGCCAAAATGGAATGCGCATGCGTGAAATAAATGAGTTTCTTAGCGTTACTACGGTTACCACTTAAACTTTTTTCTCTTTTCATCCTTTTTTCATTCTATCAAAATTCCTCGCAAAACTCACTAGATTTATTCGCATCACAATCCAACGAATTCATTGAAGTGAGTAAGTGCTATTGCAGCATATTACATATTGGAGCATATTAGAGCATGAGATGCGAATAAATATATTGCAATGAAATAATTTAAACCTTATGAAAATTAATAAAAATAAATTGTAAATATATTGAAAAGTAAAGAAAAAATATAGAAAAATTAGGGAAAATATTAAATTAACTTAAAAAATGTATATTTATGTAAAGAAATATCATGTAATTATACATCTATGAAAATATTATGAGAAAGCTGATATCAAAAAAATTTATATATGTATACATATACGTCCAAAAAAACAATAAATAAAAAGAAATCTTTCTTGCTCGGTTTTCTTATTATTTTTGTTATTTTTTCACTTTATCACTTTTTCACAAAAATTAGACCAATCTCTCGAGATTTCTCACACAACATTTCACCAAATAGACAATACTTCCCTCTAAATTTCCACTCTAAACCATGTATGCTTGAAAGACAAATGTTTAAGTGGAACATTGAGACGCTTATTTAAATAGAGAAAGAGAGAGAGAGAGAGAGAGAGAGAGAGAGACAGGGAGAGGAGGAGGGAGGGAGAGAGAGCAATAAAAAAAGAAGGAAAAGAGACGGGGCAACTTACTTATTTCACGCATGCGCATTTTGGCCAACATAAAATCAGGAGAGTTGCGCTACTGTACGTACTGTGATGATAATAGTCTCCTAGAGATTTTTGAAAGTACAAATGATAATATTGTTAAGAATACAGCTCATAGTATCGCCGAAAAAATTGCAATTATAAATTTATATTGTCTGTGCTCTGTTGGTATGACATATTACAAAGAAATCAATATTGTTTCTTTTATTTTTCTTTTATTTTTCTTTCAAAATTCAAGGCACTTTTATTGTTCTTTTCTTTTATTATTATTATTTCTTCATATTAATTAAAAGGTAAGATATAAAATATATACAGGCAGGGGCATTTAAAACAGATCATGAATAACGCTTGTTTTTAACAATAAAAAAAAAGTGACAAACAAAACTGTTTCGAAGGGCATATAATGTGATGTCAATAATTGTTTTGTAGGTGGACGCGTAAAGGATAGGCAAAAGTCAAATCTGTAT